GAACCAGTGAAAGTACATTTACTGATTGAACTGAGAGTCCTGGAGTAGTGTTGCTAGCTAGCAACAACATGGCAGTGTCTGTTCAAGGCTTAGCTTGAAGGTCAATAAATTGCTGGTGGATTTTCACTAAGCCAGTGTATATTCATGATGTGTTTTTTAACTCCGCTTTGTAGAAGCAGTTTGACAATAATGGCTGTTGGCAGAGTGTAACATTAAGTGCAGTTATGTGACGTTGTGGCTGTTTGTCTCGAATAGTTTCGTTTTTTGCTTTCTGCGGTTGAACAAGAAACCTTATTAGTAATCCTCAGAGTGAGGTGTTGAAGTAAGAAGCTTTCTTCTGAATGAGACACAGACAGCATAACTGTAAACTAACAAATAAAGTATATACTGTATATATATATTTATATATTTATATATATATATATATATATATATATATATACTGTATGCATTGATTTGACAGGAAAAACCTTGGAAAATCTGTGAAATTAATCTTTTCTCATTATTAAATGAATCTTTACCTGGCTGAGCAGTCTCTAGTCACAGTGGTGTTGAATTATTTAACAGGAAAACGAGGAGGTCTTTGTCTCTCTCCAAGATTTGTGTAATTTGAAAGGAAAGATTCAATCATTACCAAATTCAATATGAGAGTTTATTTGAAAGAGAATGACTCCAGGGACGGTTGTGTCAGACTGAATAATGAAGCAAAGCTAAATGCTAATATATTATGAGCGTTAGGCGACAGATACCAGGTGACCTTAAAATCAGACCCAAGCAGACGAGAGAGAGAAAGAAAGAGAGAAAGAGAGAGAGAGAGGGAAAGTTAAAGAGGCCGACAGCCAGACAGCAACTGTGAGCAGCAGCAACAGAATCTGAAGGCACAGGGGTCACGTCAGAGAAAATGCAGCCGGAAAGAAAATTAAAGTAAGCAAAATGGAAAGTGGAAGGGCAGAATGAGGAACATAGGGAAAGTCCAAAGGAGAATAATTTATCGTGAGGGAGGGAGTGAAACGAAGAGAAACGGCTCGAGGAGGAGGAGTTGGGGAAGAAGGTCAGGAGGTCGTAATAGAGCAGTGAGACTGCACAGAAGCCGTAGTTCCCACCTGCTGGTTATTTGCCCTGAGACCAAAGCCCACTTGTTCAATACTGACTGGTACCGTGCCCTTCATGCCACACCGTACATGTGAGACAACACCAGCAGCAAACGTCGTAAAAGCCTAATAACCTCTGTGTATCTGCACAATTAATGGAAATTTGAACAAAATCTTAAAATGACCAGCAGCAATCTACAAACCGCAGGAGGTGCGTTATTTGTTAAAAGGTGAAATGTGTGTCAAAAAAATACCATTCTAAATATAATATTGTTGTGCTGTTGTTGTATCGTTATGAAAACATCTGTGTTTTGCACAGATCCCTGCATGAATCACACCATAATCATTTAAATATATCTTTCAATGAAAATAATGATGATGATGATTCCCTCTAATATTACATATAAAATTGCAATTAGATAGTTTTCAGCCCTACTTGTGTGGACTCTACCAAAAGCAAGACTGTTAAATTCAGTTTTGTGAGCAACCTCTGATGCAACCACAAGGCTCTGAACTGTAATTCCACAGCTTAATTGTTTTATTGTGTGTGTGTGTGTGTGTGTGTGTGTGTGTGTGTGTGTGTGTGTATTGACATGGAGGTGTGTGTACCGGTAGGTAGATAGCTGTGGGCGTTGTGTCCTTCTCCATGCATGCACCTCAATCTCCGTCCAGGATTCTAATAGCAGCAATCTTCCACTCAGGACATCTTTTAAGACCCTCACTAGTGCATTTCTCAAGGTCACCCATCATGCTCACACACACACACACACACACACACACACACACACACACACACACACTTGTGCACACACCAAGATCAAAAGCTCCTTCAACACGCCCACATGTACCCCCGGTCGCCTTCCCAATCAAATCCTCTCCCTACGCAGCCAACCGTTGCTCCCTCTCTCCTCTCATCACGCGCTCACATTTTTCTCCTTGAAGTCTTAACCTTCTGTGTTTCAGAAACTCCCATGTTACCTGAACTCCCCACTCTGCTGAGGCGTTGAAGACTAAAAAAGGGAAATTCAGATTTCATACAACCTGTGTCTTATTATTCATAGCTTTGACCATCCTTCCTTTCGGTTACAATAAAACGGTACTCACCAGTTGCTAAAAAGAAGTGAGACAGGGCAAGAGTCATGAGCTCGATCACGTCAATGTGGAACTGCCATCTTTAATTACCATCTTGTGTACGTTAACTAATTTGAATATGCTTGCCATTTTTTAAAATGTGCTCCTTTTAGTATATCTTTATCTGGTGTTTTGTTTACTTAGCTTAAATAATTTATTGTACTACACTGTGCACTGCTTGGGAGTTTGACGCAACGATGTGTCACTTCACCACGTTAGAAAAACATGTTTTGAAGACAAAACGAAGGCGGAATGTAACATGTATGCCCAAACCGTCAGTCGTTAACATCCATTCAAGCTTACAGATGGACTTTATGGTTCAATTTTAACATAATGGACCCATTTGTTAAGTCACGTGCTACATGTACCGTCAAATCGAAAATGTCCACAAGTTATCTGTGACAATAAGAGGTCCATGTAAACATTTGGTGATCAATCTATATACAAACAGTACAACAATGTAGAGCTCTGCATTCTCAATGCTACACTGCTGATCCTATGTTTGCATTTAGCCTTAGGTCTGGCTTGGACCAACCCAACAAGCAGTAAACGCAACATTTGCATTTCCCATATTAAGCTGTTGTGCAAGTCAAACTGTTGCTTATTTACATATCCAGGAGATATAAAGCAACATTATAACTCATTTGGAGTTGTGTTTCAGGCTTGATGACATCCTTTTAGCTCTATTGGTCTCCACTTACTCCTGAGAAAAATATTTGGCTCTTTAGCTGCTAAATACTCCACTATGTTCACCAGTCGTTGACTGTGTCTCTCTGCTGTTTGGTGCCGAGCAGGAGGTCTAGGAATTTAGAGCTTGTCCCCCGAAAACAAGTTTGATGTCATCGGTGAAACTGAACCAAAACTGACCCTGACCTGTTGAGACGCTTTCTCTTCTCCGTGCACCTTGTAAGTAGTGAAGATGTCACTGTGAAGGACACCTTTAACATTACGCATCATTTACACGTTATTGCCCGTCATTAGACAAGAGGTTATCATCATAAAGTGGTTTGAGGTGCGGTTGTATCCGAGTAGTTTTTACAAGTATGAGTACAGTATTGGACCTCATACGCGATAATCAGTGCATCTCTTTACTCGTGTTACTTCCCCCACGTGAGTACTACATTATCATGACCGACAGGAATGATGACAAAAACTACAAAAAAAGACTTCAATAAACATAATAAACCAGAATTTTCCTTCCAGAAGCAGCCGAATGCTCTTTTTTATGAAGCAACCACCCTGTGGCAATCTCTCCCTCTCTCTGTGTCTGTCCTCACCTTCCTTCCCCTGGGGTGGCTGGAAACTATCAGAAAAGACATCAGCAATCAGCACCTGTCAACACTGAGGCCTAACATTTTCACCAACATTCTCACATTTTTCCGTCACCGTCTAGACTTTCTTTCCCTTTGACTCCCCACCTTATTCCATTACCGCCTCAGTCTTCTTTTATTCGAACTGGACTTGGAGTGTAAGAAATCAGCAGGGATGAAAAGTTACGATTGGAGGCAAGTCTTTCCTCTCTCAGACACCAACAGCAAGATCGCCAAATTCGCTGGGAGCGATGTGCCCGCCAGCTCTGTCTGGGTGAGTTTCTGTTTTTGTTTTCAGGAAGACGAGAATGTGAACAGCGATGAAGTTAGAAACCCAAACAAGTTAATGAGGAGCAGGAAATAATGAGCTGATTGCATGATTAGAGGCATAATTCTTCGGAACACTAAAAATAAACCGCAGCTATTTCCTATTTACATATCTTTTCTGGATCTATGAGTGCAGCAATAATATGAAGTGGCTGCCGTGCTCAGGCTTCACTGAGGGCGCTCTTTGATAAATTTGGGGTAACCGTAAGAAAATGTCCATGAAATCTCCGCCCATCCTTCACTTTGATTGAGGAAAAGGCAGACATGAAACTAACCAGCCATGCTGTTCGGAGGGGCAGAGTCAGGTAAAGGTAATTGCTTAGCAAGAGAATGAAACAGCCGATAGGATCAGAGGGAAAGGGAGCGAGGTGACAGCCTATAATTGGAAACGGAGAAAGGAGGAAGATGGTGGAAAAAGAGGGATAGAGAGAGAGAGAGAGATGAGTGGGTGGGGAGGGCTGATACACCTCATGCAAACCTGCTGTCATAAAGACATATGCCCTCTGCTACAACATGACATAACACATGGACACATGGCATCCTGCAGTGTAGCATGTCTCAGACCAGAGAGCACAAACAGCAGCCACACAAGTTATACCCTTTCAGATATTTCTGGTGTGCACAATTTATGATTGCAAATAGCTCACGTACAAAATTAATGTAATGAGCAATGTTACAGCCACAAAAAAAAGAAGAAGAGTTAAATCACAGTGACTGTTTCATTTGTCCGGCTGACGTGAAACATGGCAATGTTCCACCAGTGGAGGTTTATTTACATGCATCACTCTGACAGCCTACGAAACCCATTATGAAATGCCTCCAGTGCTATACAATAACGTTAAAACGGGATGTAGACTGTAAGAAAGCATGACCAGGCGCACACGCACACACACACACGCACACACACGCACACACACACACACACACAATCTCTCCTCCTCATCCTCCTTCCTTTGCTGCAAGTATCTGAGGGCAAGTAGGGAGACTTGTCAGGTTGGGTAGTCGTCAACCCTTAAGATCTGCGAGCATGCACTGTTGCGTTTCAAGTGTTTCTGTGCTCTATTTGAAAAATCACAGCACCCATTGAGTATAAAATGTACATACCTGTGTGTATGAGTGTGTGCAGTTTAAGTGAACATACCCAGGACTGAAGCGTGGTCCCTGATGCCTCCTCATCTGTCCAGCTGTTTACGTATGTGAATCTATTTTCCTCTCCTCTTGGCCCACAAGTTGCCAACACTGCTCCACACGTGCCAGCTCCTCCACTCCTCAGTCCGTCTCCGTCTCACTCTCAGACCGTGGCATCAGCAGCTGTACCAAAGCTGCCACT